AAAAAAGAAACTCAATCTGAAAAACGGTAGTAGACTAAAGTGCTTGAAAATATCCCTGATACGGAATCACCGTACCAGCTCAATTCCTATTATGTTGGTTAAAGCCTGGTTCACATATGCCTGCGGTATGCCTGCGACTGTATCATTATGCCTCTACTTGCCGCCGAAATACCGGCAAAGTTGAACTCAAGTCAACTTTCCCGGCCTACCGCCGATGTAATGTGGCATTGGAGGCAATCGGCGAACAAATATTCACATAATTTACGTTTTAAGCTAACACCGGCATCGTCGCCGGTACGTCGCCGGTACGTCGCAGGCATATATGTGAACCAGGCTTAACAATGATCGTTCACAATGTGAATTTTGTAGTGCATTAGCATTATTAGGTTAAAGTCTAAAATCGATACATATTACAGTAGGTTGTAATTTGAGTCTCTGTTGCCTTTATTAGAAGTGACGAAGAAAGCAACCGACCAAAAGTTGCTGTTATTCGCGAAGAAGGTAGCAATGGTGACCGCGAGATGAGTGCTAGTTTATTACAAGTTGGATTTGAAGTCTGGGATGTCAACATGCAAGATATTTGTACTGGTCAGGTAACTTTAGATAAATTTCGAGGAATTGTTTTTGTTGGTGGATTTAGTTTTGCTGATGTTCTTGGTTCTGCCAAAGGCTGGGCTGCAGTTTCACTTTTCAATGAGGTATGCCAGAGAGAGCTTTCTGTATTCCTTGCTCGCAAAGATACATTTAGTCTTGGTGTATGTAATGGCTGCCAACTGATGGGTTTGCTCGGCTGGGTTGGTAACGATTCAACAATGGCGGAAAGTAATAACCAGCAAGGTGTTTGTTTCACTCACAATGAATCAGAATGTTTTGAATCTCGCTTTGTGACAGTAAGCATTCAAAGCAGCGACGCTGTCATGCTCCGTGGCATGGGAGGATCAACCATGGGTGTTTGGGTGTCGCATGGTGAAGGACGAGCTCAGTTTAAAAATGAAAATATTCTGAATGATGTCCTTGATCGTAATCTTGCCCCTATACGGTACGTCGATGATGATGGTGCAGTGACAATGAAGTACCCTCTCAATCCCAATGGATCCCCTAGTGGTATAGCTGCTCTGTGTTCAGATGATGGCCGCCATCTTGCTATGATGCCACACCCAGAAAGATGTACCATGTTGTGGCAATGGCCTTGGATGCCCGAAGAATGGAAAAGTTTGGAGTGTTCTCCATGGTTGAAAATGTTTCAGAATGCATTTGACTGGTGCAATGAAATGTAATGTTTACTGTATACCAGCCTACCACTGGATATTGAGTTCCCTTGGTTAATAATGTTTCAGCATGTATTTGCTATGAAATACAACACTTACTTTATACCAGCCTCCAGTACCGATGGGCATTTTCTTGTATTAAGTTCTTTTAATTGCTCCATATATAAGTTATCATACTGTAACTTAACAGACAGACAAAGAGACAGTATTTCATAAAGTTTAATAGTATTTATTATACGTTTTGTATCATTTTGGAATTTGGGTATTTAATAAATTAGGGCAATAATTCAATATGTGTAATTTAAATGAAGAATTGTGGCGTCAGCAGTAATTTTCATAGACAGGTCTTCAAAGTTGGATTACCTCCTTTTCATACACCTTGTGTATTATGGTTAAAAGCCGAATGCCATATTATATGTTTAATCAAGACACGATTTCCGTCCTTATTGTAGATGTTTAAAGTAACTTGCCTGCAACATCTTGCCTACACCCAGCAATCCACATCAAAAACTATTTAACGGAAACGTCAAAATGTCAATGATAAAACTACTGGTGTTCCAAATTGAAACTGGAAACCATAGACTATATTAACTGTTTTCAGTTTTTGCATTAAAGAAGACATATAGGTGGATAGATGGAACTTATTATATGTCGGAAATAAATAATGTAAGTCTGTAAGAATCTAAAATTTTATTGATATAAGTACTCGGGCTCCAAGGAAAGAGAACCAAGCTTGTATCTCCTATGCCTTGACTGCATGCAAAATTAGAATTTCTTCAGAGCTACTGCTTAATAATTTAAAAACTGGTCTATATAGTTTTTCAATCATTTATACTTTCATTTTACAAATGAAATATCGTAAATCCGTTAATTTAACTAAAAGGGAATCGCTTATAGCTCACACTCTTATGTTATCTTGTAAGCCTGCATGCATGATAGGCGAACAAAAGCGTATCATTGTAAATTATATAACGTTTTTTGGTAGCTTTCATCTTGTTAATTATCTTTCACGAATGCCATACTGGCGTTCAGTAGAAAATAACGATATTTTTAGACGTATCTTTCATTTCTCCAGGGCAGCCTCAATAACGGACTGTTCTTCGACTTCTTCATGTAGTACTCTCGTTATGTACTCCTTAGAACTTCTATCTAGAATTATGGTTATTATATTATATATTAATATATGAAATATTAGTAAAACTCTCAACGTTCGGTCTAGGATATAATAACTATGTTGTTATTAATCGCCGTGGACAATAGTTTCATTGAAGAGGTTACTTCTTGAAAATCATGCATACTTTTGCAGACATTCGCCTTCTAGCGTCGAAGGATCTCTGTATTGAACGTCGTTTCTCTAACGTTGCTTATTTGAGAAGCACATTTGTAACAAATCTTCTCCACAGGAAAAGACGCTTTCCTTGACAACTACGTCTGCAGTTATTCCATTCCGAAGGACAATGCAGTTTAATTCAGTTTAACCAAACAAAAATACTCCAGTATAAAGTGTTGAAGAGAACAAACAACACAAGATACACCACTCTTGCGACTCTGTCAATGTTCACTGGATTGGTAATAATCATGGGAAAATTGTCTTTGTTCGCTAATTTAGTAATGCCATTTTTGTCAGTACGACTGTTATATTGACGTCGAGACTTTCGTAGTAAGAAGCTTCCACCCTGTTGTTAAAAGAAAGAAGATAATTGATATATTTGTGGGCGTTTTTAATTAACATGGTCAGAACGGTCAAATTGTTGAATAGAACACAAAATGTTTGGCCTTCGGACATATGTGACCGGGAAATTTGGATCAAATTAGAAGAGGATGTGCATTTTCACTAGATATTTGAGAAACCTGAACCAGATCTTTCCATTAATACAGAGCAGGAATTCTTCTAAATGGAAATTAAGCGCTCTGTGTATAAACACACATCTTAAATTATCATATCCCTGATGCGGATAGAGATTTTGACTGTGATAAGAATGTAAATAAATACGACGTTTCATGCAAAGAGCATGCAGAACTTTCAAAACGAAGAACATTCTCTCGCAACATCGTTTCCTTCCATTTTCCCAGAAAAACGAAATATCTTGAATGTTGAGTTCCAGTGCATGTAGTGATGGAACAATATTCACGTGCTTGGTTGAAGGATCTAACTATCTGAAAAATATAAATTTTGACGTTTCGAGCGTACGTCGTTCGTCCGGAAATTGGCAGGTACTAAATGAAATATGTGCCGAGAACAAGAAAAAGTTAGCAGAATTTGTAAAAATGTCTTGTCGATTAACTAGTCTGTTGTTTGTTTTATTCGTTTGTTTATTTGCTTGTTTAGTTGGTTGGTTGGTTAAATTGGTCATTGTTTTGTCGGCTGTTGGGTAATTTTCAAATCATTGGTTAGATAGGATGACTAAAAATCTAACAAGTTAATCTGGCTAAGATGAGCGTGTGAAGTTTCGATATTACCGCTCGTGGGAAGCTGTTATCCTTTTTTTCTTTTCAAAATATTTTATCTTAAAGTATTTAATGAGGACATATTTTGACTCACATTTCTGATCAAGCCGCCATTAGACCTTGGATTGTTCTCTTCCTTGGAGTCTAGCCAACCACATTCTAGTTCTGACTTATCTTGGTAATACGAGCCATTTTCCTGAAAATCACAAATATGTACAGTTATAACTTGAAACATACGTACACCGCGTGGACTACAAGAACAAGTACACGAAATACTATTTCAAAAATTCCGCGTTCTGGACCGAGACATTACAGTGAACCAAACCTGGGCGATATTTTTGGCGACAACTATCATAGTCAATCAAGAAAATGTCTGTATAGACAATTTTTTTTTTGCATAATGAAGCAACCATCCAGTGGCAGCGTAAGAGCATTTGAGCGGACCCAATCAACCGTGCTGTTGAAATATTAAGATGAACGGTCTAACAAATTCTGCCAACACAGTCCGGACCCATTTTGGTAACTATAGTCAAACTAGTACAAAATATTCGTCAGAAAATCTTAATTTTACAGCTTACCACATCTCCTTCGTATTTACTCGGATCCGAATAATGATGTCTATTTTTGAGGTAGCAAATACTGACAAGTGTATACTCCAACATGGCGCCAAATACGAATAACAAACATATAAGCAAATACCAATCAATGGCTTTGACGTAACTAACACGTGGTAAACCTGCACGAGCACTTCCGCTTATCGTTACCATGGTTAAAGCTGTCGTGATACCGAGCGCAACGCGAGCTGGGACCGAGTCTGGAGGAATCCAAAATGATATCCAACTTAGTGCGACGATGATGCATGATGGGATGTATGTTTCGATGATAAAAAATCCAACTCTACGTTTCATGTTAAATTTCACTTTTAGTGAAGAAAAAATACCTGGAAACAAAATATAAATTATGAACAATTCCGTTCTGTGTATAAATCGGACAAACAGGAGCGAATTGGGAGCTTTCTTAAGCATGAAGGACGCAACGCAAGGACAACAGCCAAACTATATCTGGTTGAAACAAGATCAAAACACATTGCCTTTTACTAACCATTCTATTAATTAATTAAATATAGTTTCAGAAAGTTAAGACAAGGCTTGACGTCCATAGGAAGAATTATACTTAAACTTAAGCATGTTGGGGTCTTGTGTTTGTATGGATGCAGGACTTATTTTCTGTGCTTGCAACACATGCTGTCTTGAGGATAACTAATACTCTCTTGACTATCAGTTGATAGCATTTGTCTAATTTTTTAAGGTTCACTGGGTTTATTTGTTTGTTTGTCTGTTTGCAATTGTTTGTTGGTTTGTTATAGCTGTTTCGTTGCTTGCAAAAAACATCGTGTATAAGAAATTTGAATTGATGTACCAGCATTATATGTGTTATTCTTCTCAGTTAGTACGAGTTCAGTCATTTCGTATTGTAGAAAACTGAGATCACTTGGTATAACTACTGCTGATGTATTGTCGCGCCTATCGTTCCAGAAGTATACTGCATCTTCTACCTTGTAACCATCTGAAATAAACATTTCATGTTAAGAAGTTAGATTTTATTTTTTTAATCCTATCCCCAGTGATTAAAAATATCTCATTTAACACTCGGCAACTGAGAGCAGGGATAAAAACCACGAAAAATCTCGTTAATAATCCAAATGCTGTTTTCCTGGCCATTGGAAAATTTGAATTTGAGTTATAACATTCATATACATATCTTTCAAGATGTCAAACTTACAACTTTCTACAATCAATGCACATGATTGATGATCATGGGGATACAGATGAAAGCGTAGTTGACAGGACGTGGTCACTGTTACTCTAAAAAGAAAATACAAGTAGATATTGGAGATATAATTGTGAGTGGTTCAAGTAAAAACGAAACGTTATGTACAGTATACGGAACACGACTTTGTGTGGTTAGCCTGCGCATGCGCAGCTAACCACTATGTTATAAACCATAAAAAAGTTTAGTGTGACAGTTTTTAGTCTGCGCATGTGCGAAATATTGCCATAAAAAAGTTTAGTGTGACAGTTTTTAGTCTGCGCATGTGCGAAATATTGTAGTTAATTTATAAACGCATATACGAAAGAGCCGTTGGTTTATGAAATTTTGTAGTTAAATGCATACGAAAGAGCCGTTGGTTTATGGAATTTTGTAGTTAATTTAGAGGCATACGAAAGAGTCGTTGGTTTATGAAATTTTGTAGTTAAAGGCTCTGGCATACTCTTTCGCTTGCGCATTAAATTAAGGCAGATCGATATGGACATATCATATCGTCGGTTTACTTTGGAGGTTCATATATCTTTGGTTCAGTGCATGCTATGTGGATGAAAATACCACCGTTCAATTCAGTGAAACAATTCCTATGGATGGTTTTAGTAAAATGTCAACATGAACATTATAGCGATTTACGATCTTTAGAAGTTAAGCGATACCATATTTCACACAATTTTCCCGAACAACGTAAACAATGTCAATGTATTACCAACTGAGGCCTATAAGTGCATAACCTCTCGCCGAACAGAAATTTAGTCCCTTTCAACATATCTTTTTCGTAATAGTCTTGTTCGAATCAGAATCCAAAACACTATTCAGAGTTTATTTTCAAGCTTGTATCTACAGATTTGCATCTTTTATTTCGGTATTTCAGAATATCTAAATTTTTAGTGAGAGCTTCAACCGGAAATACAAACTGATTGTCGAAACAATGCTGTCCTAGCACTCGGGAAACGTCGGAAACCGTTCGTCGGAAACCGATTCGAGTCACATTACCCCTGTAGCGTGGCCGAAGTTATATGTTCAGCGAAAGATACGGCCAGTCTATATTTTTATTGAGTACTTTGATTCGATAATATACAATCTCGCTTGCCTTTCAGAAGCAATAAATCGCTACAACGTTGATAATGACTAAAGCTATTGTAAGGAACTATTTGATTTTTTCACTGAATCAAATGGTGGTATTATTGTGTTCATAGCATGCACTAAACTCAAGATATGAACATCTAAAGGTCCAGACACACCGGATGCGATTTGACAATGCGACGCGATTTTTCGATTTTCACTGACCGATAACTTTAATTCTAGTTTAAATTTTCCAAGTATTTAGAAGCGTTATAACATTTTCGTTATTTGGTCTACATGTCTTTTAAGATTTGCTCTCATTGGCTGTTGTATTAACTTTCAAAAACTATAAAATCGCGTCGCGTTGTGGAATCGCGCCCGGTGTGTCTGGACCTTAAAGGTTGGCAGCTTTTAACGACCTACGATGCTTGGGACTGAGCGAGAAAGAGCTTTAAAATTTTATTTTAGCCGTTTACAACGAAATAGTTGAGTTAATTTAATATTTTCTGGTTTGTTTTTAAAAAGGTTGCTGTATTATGGCTATGTTATACGGTATTTGGCTTCATACGACAAAGAATAAAGAATAAAAATTTTATGGTTAAATGGTTGAAAAAATCAACCAAGATATTTCGTTCATTATATTGAACGAAATCACTGAGCTATATGACGCTATAACAATTGCCAATCCTATAGGCTAACCACATGTACGCAATGCGTACCTATTTTTATAACTTTGTCTCGTGCACAACACAAAGTGATAAAATGTAATAATTATAATATATGTGTAATATAAGAACGTTTTTGATTGGCTGAAATTGTCTGCCTCTTTTTGGCAAACATTTCCTCAGTGATTCTCACAAAGTTTTTCATGTTATCAGCATCTTTAACTAAAATAAAAACGTTTCTATTAATCATGAATTTTTTAATTTTGTAAATTTGATATTACGTATTTGAAGGTAGGTTTGATAGTGTGTTAATTCATTATAGATCCCATCAAAATCAAGAAAACGACCTGGGGAATCAAAAGATGATTTGGTACAAAAATAGATCAAATATTACAGTTCCCCACAAAATAGCATCCAGTTTACTTTCAATTAAACAAATTGTCTGTCCATAAAGAGAAATCAGAAACTCTCTGTTCATATTTTATTCAGAATTTCTGCAAAGTATCATACGCAAAAGCTATCATTAGTGTAGATGATAGTAAAGAAAGATGCACTTATGCTTACTGGAATAAATGTTTGTTTAATTTGAAGCGAGTTAATTGTGCCAAATTTTTGTTATCTCTAAAGCGGTTTTTGGATATATTTAAAATTATTTCTGCTTATTGAAAAGTGTGTTAACAATTTTTTTTATCAGTGGTAAGTTTATTCAATGTGAAATAACTTAATATGAATTATATCTTCGCAGGAGGAACAAGCAAAGCAACAAGCTTTAAATTACACATTAATTAATACTCCTGTGGCTTTACCTGCGGCTAACTTTGCAACGATATTTCAACCCTCGACCTTCCAGGCAACTAATGCAATGCAATTTGCTCCCGCCTTCTTTTCAACTTGTAAGTATGTGTCCAAATATCAGGTGAAATAACTTTTGTGCATTGTTCTACGTCAGTATTACGTTGGGTGAAATTAGGGTATAAAGGATATGGGTTAGCTATAGAATGAGGATAAGGTTATGAGTTAGGGTTAGGTTGGGATAAGGGTTTTAGCAACGGGTATGTTCGGATTAAGTGTGATTTCCAAAACGATAAGTATTATTAAAAAACTTATATTACAATTTATAAACTATATATATATATATATATATATATATATATATATATATATATATATATATATATATATATATATATATATATATATATATATATACCGGGTGTCCCAAAAAAAAGTACTCCTGTTTAATTCGTAATAACTTCTAAACAAGTAAAGCTTTTAAAGAGAAATAACTTGCATCAAATAGAGGAATGACTAACTTAGATTTTGATATATTACAGTTGTATTTAACTTAAAAATTCACGGAGATATTAATGTTCAAAATCGGGAGCATATTTTGGGATGTGTCAAAATTAGCGAAAATCGCCATATCAAATATTAACTCCAGCGTTTGTTTGCTTAATGACATATCAGGCTAACTTGTATTTCAGCGAATTATCGTTAGGGTTTGTAAGGGATATGGCGTAGATTTAGACATCTTACATGTAAGTCTTAGCTCATTGTTTCCTGAAATATGAACGTTCGAAATTATGCAAGTATTTAATATTAGGTCTTTACGAACTTAAATGTACATGAAAGACTGACCATGGAAGGCAGGCGCTTAAATTTTTCGTATTCTTAAATAGCCTAATTTTTTTATGTTTTTAATGGGTTCAAACAGACTGAGTAGATTATTTCTCGGTTAGAGCAGGATGAATATTCTTTATTGAAGGAAATAATATTGCTTTTTGCAAATACACATCACCGTATCAACGCTACTATTTTGTTACGTTTTGTTCCAAAAATGTTGCATGTCTCTGGGGAGTTGCTTAATTGTTATGTCTTATGGAGTTGTATGGTTTGATTGTGTTTCATATAATTCTCAGTTTACTCTGAACTTGCCAAGATTAAGAAAAGGCAAAAGAGTTTGGGTGTTCTTAACAAGATTTCAGAACGTTGCAGAAGTTAGAACAGCTTCACAATTCCGTTGTGACAGCATGCCCTAATTCAGAACTACGAACGATCCATGACGATCCTTCGCGATGCATGCGTGGTCTCATGAAATAAGGAAACGTATTCGTGCTAGGAACACACGCGAATTTCGGACGAATAAATCGTGCTTGTATTTTGTAGATATAATAATACTTTGTTTCATAATAAACAATTTGTCAAGTGTCATTTGTTTACTGGTAATAGTGCATGTTTCAGTCGGGCAAATCTTGATTAATATTTGATACGCCGTTTTTTGCATATTTCAGACACATCCAGAAATATGCTCCCGATTTTAAAGATTAATATCTCCGTGAATTTTTAAGTAAAATACAACTGTAATATGTCAAAATCTAAGTTAGTCCTTCCTCTATTTGATGCAAATTATTTCTCTTTAAAAGCTTTACTTGTTTAGACGTTATTACGAATCAAACAGGAGTACTTTTTTTTGGGACACCCGGTATATATATATATATATGTATATATATATGTATATATATATATATATATATATATATATATATATATATATATATATATATATATATATATATATATATATATGTATATATATGTATACATATGTATATATGTATGTATAGATGAGAACCTAAATCTTACTGCCAATTAAATGTGTTCTATATGTTTATAAGGAATCTTATTTTGCAAAAAAAATTGAATTTTCTGTACTTGTGATACTTGTATATAGCAGGGGTTGAAATTGACCGGGCACCAAATGCGGTCAAACATTCATCGCCGGCATTTGCCAAAGGTAACTCGATTGAGAAAGAACAATAAAGTAATTGTGTAAAGCCTTAAAATATCTCGGTAATCAAGTATTTCATTCTGCTTTTGCATATAATTTCCCAACAAATTGATTAAACAACTGGATTTTTTTATGTTATTTATATACAAAAAGAATACTTCATAACACGCATTGATTGATGGCGACCTGATATTAAATTTGGCAACCAGATCTTATTCACTGGTAGCCACTTGCGCAACCAAAATATTTTTTTTAAATTTCAACCCCTGGCTTGTAGAGTGTTTGTTAATATTCATATTTTTCCTGATATTTGCACAGTGCCACTGACGGTTCCTCAGTTGACCACGACGACTGTAAATACTGCTCCTTTTGTACACCCGCAAGTTCAACCGGTACAGTTTTAATATTTTTTATTCCAGTTGACCTATGACGTTTACATGACGTCAGTTTGTTTATTACACAATGTACTTCACATAGCAAAGTTTTCTTTTTGTGTGAATTATATAAAGCCCAATGTCAAAAACAGATAATAAAAGCGATAGTAAAGACGCACCTAGTTACATTTCAAGCAAAGCCTTTCAGTATTATCAATTTTTTTTTACCAATTTCCCAAATCCTGATGATGGCAGTTGTGAACGGCGAAGGATGCTTTTATTTTTACAAGGTGGCTTTTAATCACCCTTACAGAAAATTTTGACTATAAACACTTACCGAATTTGCTCGAGTGTCATGAGACAGAAGTCACAGCTGGTTAGAAGTCAAAGCTGGAATAGCTGACATTGTTAACCTCGAGTTCCAGTTATTGTTTCCTGACCACTCGTCCTAATTCGGGAAGTGTCTATTACTGTGTTTTGTGAGTGTGTTTGTTTTAGTTAGCATGGTTTATACAGTATGTAGCATGGCATAGCAATGTATTACTGTTTGTTTATGGTGGAGATAGTGTTTGTATGAAACTAACATGGTATGGTATGGTATGGTATATGAATGTTGTCGAGGATGTCTTTAAAGAACGTCGATAATACATACAGTGCTGTGCTCCAGTTAAGTTAACATGGTTGACAACATTTCGAAGATCTTCCCGCCCATGTGGGAAATGATAAAATTCTACCCGTTGTTTTACCGTACCATTGTTGATTCGTATGCATAAACCTTTTGCTCTTATGGGACGCGTCGACAAATTTTGCTTACTTGCTATACACCTAAAGGCGTGTTTACATGGTCCCACCCAGACTGAATGTGGGGATGATTCTGATGTATGGTTGGTATTGACAGTTTACGATGCAACAAAATTTATTTTCTTCATGCAGATTGCATGATAAGTCTGGGAAATGGTAGATGTGCATGTAAAATATGTAAATCGCAGAAGTTGTGAACTTACAGTATATTTCAACAAAATCATTTTGCCCTCATCCCGCGGGCATTCAAATTTGGTCTTCACTATAGCGACGCATTCCATAAGCATTCAAAAAGACGAAAAAGCGAAAGAAATTCAGTGGAATCCACACACAAATGAAATGAGCGTGAGCTGTAAATACCAGACGTTGCTCATCGTTGTAATTTATTACAATGAACCAGTGGCGAATAACAGGGTGGGTTAGGATAAACACAGTTGAGAAAGTAATCGCAATTGTTGTAAAGATAAATAGTCTAGGCTAAGTAAGTAACATAAATAATCGTAATACTTGATGTAATCGGTCACTGAAAATCCCCAATGGGGAATGAGCTGAATAATAATGTAACGTAATTAGCCAATCAGATGCGTTTGATATATCCGATCAACCAATCAGATGTTTACTAAGCCAGTGAGAGGTAGCAGTGATGGAAGTCAAATCTGAACCAAAATTGTCGTCCATATAGAATTTGCATTTGGCTTCCCTTTTCATGAAGTTATTGTCGTCCATATAGAATTTGCATTTGGCTTCCCTTTTCATGAAGTTATTAGCGTACGAGGAATAATCAATATAAATCATAACATTGATTACAGTATATTTCATTTAGGTGTACAGTATATTTCATTTAAATTTCGAGAGTTTTCGACTCTTCGTCAAATGCGACCATAAGCAAAAGGTTTATGCAGCAATAGCGAGCATTTTATAATTGCATTTTTTAAACAAATTTGACAACCAGGTTTGTTTATAATTTCTTTTTGCGACAGGAATATAATTGTGTTTTGGGTGAACCTGCAACAGGAGTTTTCTATGGCTACCAACCGTATTATCCAGCAAATGGATGTCAGTATATGCCCTACGCAGAGCAACAGGTCTGAGTTGAGGGGAGCTTCGACACGTTTCCATTGTTGGCGTAGTAAGGGCCGGTGGGGAGTACTACTATAGTATAGTTAATATACGGAAGTTTGTACCTAACTTGATGCAAGGTGACAGAAACGACGTGCATATTTAAGTTATTGTTTACATCAACACTCTGATTGGCCTCGTGTGTCTTTTAGGACAATGAAATATGTTTAAATGAAAATTGAATTTCTCATTAATTTCATTGAATTTCTCTTTTTTTTTTATGATATTTCATTTCCCACGCTGGTTCAGTACGTCTAATGGAAATACGAAGAACCCCCCAAAATTCCCAATAGTATATTTAGCTTTTATGTTTCTGTTTACCTTGGGGTCATAGTGTGGTACAAGTTATCCGTGTTTATCTGGCACAACACTAAAACAAGTTGGTTATTTCACGCTATAAAAACATAATGGAGGTTCTATTTTGTGAAACAATCAACTTTCCTAATACTTTATAAAAGCGGAAATATTTTATCTCAACAGCTCTCCCTTATTAACAACCAAAAACAAAATCAACGTCCCATATGTCGTGATTACAAAGCTGGCAATTGTAGAAGAGACTCTTGCAGATTTATTCATCTCGATAACCGTGAGTTTTGATCACTGCTTCTAGGCCGTCAGAGTTTGACGAAGTTGTAAGGCACTCTCATATGACGTCATAAGGCACTATCATGTGACTCATAAGACACCCATCATAAAACACTCTCATATGACGTCATTCGCACGAGGTAATTTCATATGGAGTCATTCTCACTTCCCCTTATGAGAAGTCCAAGAACGCTGCAATAACTGCAGTACGCTTTTCACCATAGATGTTTATAAACATAGTGCTGGTGGAAATGACGAAAGCACGCATATACAGCATGTATAAAACGCTGTGGTCCTCATTGATGATTTATTTATTCCTATACTGTTGTCTTTGTGCAGCTAATACGTTGCCTGGTAAACATCACACAAAGTATAATTGGCATAAAAAAGTCAAGTGATATTTTCTGATATTTTGAGTAGCTCCCATCATTGAAGAACATTTAATGTCGTTTGGCGAGCATTTATAAGTGAGCCTATACTTTTGTCAAACTCTGCATTCGTGTATAATGCTGCTTTAAACATCCCGTTTTCTAGACTCTTTCCATAACCTTAACAACCAGAATCGTTTAACGGCCTTTTAAACTGAACTGTTTACATTCCCATTTGTCCTATAATATCAATTTGTGTGGACCACAGTAAGGCACTATATCAACTTGTAATTTGTGTGGACCACAGTAAAAACACTATATCAACTTGTAACGTTAACAACTTTAATACATCGTCCTATTCTGTGACGTCATTGATTTCAAGATATCGCATCCAACAATGTACAGTATTAATATAAAAATTTCCACATCTGGGTGGATAACCCCCTTATCTCCTTAGTCTGAAAATAATTTTGAATACATATACTTTGTCTAACACTGGCCTTAAAACCTGTACAACTGGATAGAGATTTATGATATACCTTCTGGAGCTGGCCAACATTAGTTGTGAACAATGTATGACCGGTGAGCATGTAGATTAGATAACAAACCACTGCATTACGCTTGCTGTCCATGACCATTTAAATTATTTTTTTTAATTTGAATTGTGAACTTGAATTTTGATCATTTTGAAATTTGACCATTGTTATGCAAAAAAAAAATTGCTGCAAAGGGGGTCCATTTAAGCCCCAAACCAAGTTTCCATTTTGTCGCAATCCTCTCGACCATGTATATATGTCGAGGTAGCCAGCTAATAGAGTGTATATCTACAATCAGAAAAAACTGATTTTCATACAGCGCACAAAAATCAAGATAATGTCGCTACCATTCCCATAGATTTTGGAAAAAAGTCTACCAGATCGAGTCTAAAAGTGTAAACGAATAACTATCACAAGTGACTTGAGTGACTTAAGCCTGGTTTACACTATCAAAGTTTCTATAATCACATAATGAAGAAATGTTTAAACACAGCTGAGTCAGTTTCCTCGAACAACGGTTAGGGTAAGGGTTATTAGGGTCAGCATTCATAAACAGCGAGAAATGAATCTATAACCCCCAATAACCACGAGTTATGTTTTATGTCTCGCGCATCAGTTAATAGCAACCGGTCGAACGCTTTTTTCCAGATGTGTCATTTAACAGATATGGTTAATAGCCCAAATCAGTCGTTCGTATCTCTCATTCTTACTAGTGATCATTGGTGTAGTTGGTGAAGTATCTAATAACGCACCTGCTCTGCATGAAATCACCTAGTAATCGTGGTCATCTTGAAATCGTAAAATATACGTTTTGGTCATTCGTATATATTTTTAGACAAGATCCCATTTCTACATGCATTAAGAAGCAAATATGCTACAATCGTGGCCAATTGTTTGTGGAACGCGCGGTGATGTCATGTCAGATCAAATAAAATAGCGAACAATGCAACATTGATAGGGGGATGGGGGATTTTTAAATTAGAAAATAAGAACTCAGAATTGCACCTGTCGTTCCACAACATTGTTGAACATGCATTGTTATACTTTCTGTAGTCGTAAGGAAACAATCCAATGTAAGCAATCCTAACTAACGAAGTCCCCTCTCTATTCACACCCGCTACTCAATAAGCCCCCGCCGTCAAAAGTGCCTGATATAAATAAGTCCTTGGAGGGAGAGCGGAGGTCGCGCAATGGGGGATTTACATAGCATGTTCAAAGACCATTCAAAATTGTAGGATCTTGTGCACCGCAGTCATCTCACATAATTTTGGATTATTATTTGCAGGAAATGTAGAGGTCGTTAATGGACAAGTGACAATTTGTGTAGACGCATTGAAGGGGACATGTCACAGAACGCATTGCAAGTATTATCATAAACCTGTCAAAGCCAAAGATGCTGAAAAGGACAACAAGAATAAACAAGGACAGGGACAGTTACCTTTAGTTTAATGAGCTCAAATATATATATGTATACACACACAATTGCCTTTAATGTTCAAGTTGTGTAACAGGGACCACGCATGGGGGAGAGGGCAATAATTTTCATGATACTGAACGTGTTACACTTGTACCATAATAAATACTAATAGTTGCATGCTCAGCTGGCTATACTATCATTACATACAAGCTTGAAATATATTTCTCCTTTTTGCGTGACACAGCCAAAATCGCTGCGTGGTCCCTGTCCACGGGTTATTTGAGGATAACTGTAGCAGTACTTTGTCCTCATCTGTTCTATCAAACATATCCCAGTATTATTTTAACAACTTATGAACGATGATAAATAATATACAATTATTGGAGTAATTGACGAGGTTGTGCAAAATTGCCTACTGTATCTCTTCTGTCTGAGCGAAATTGCCTTCTGCATCGCCTCTGCCTGAACAAAATTGCCTTCTGCATCGCCTCTGCCTGAACAAAATTGCTTTCTGCATCTCCTCTGCCTGAGCAAAATTATCTTCTGCATCTCCCCTCCTGAGCAAAATTATCTTCTGCATCGCCTCCGCCTGAGCTAAATTATCTTCTGCATCGCCTCTGCCTGAACAAAATTATCTTCTGCATCGCCTCTGCCCGAACAAAATTATCTTCTGCATCGCCTCTGCCTGAACAAAATTGCCTTCTGCATCGCCTCTGCCTGAACAAAATTATCTTCTGCATCGCCTCTGTCTGAGCAAAATTATCTTCTGCATCGCCTCTACCTGAACAAAATTATCTTCTGCATCGCCTCTGTCTGAGCAAAATTATCTTCTGCATCGCCTCTGCCTGAACAAAATTATGTTTTGCATCGCCTCTGCCTGAGCAAAATTATCTTCTGCATCGCCTCTGCCTGAGCAAAATTATCTTCTGCATCGCCTCTGCCTGAGCAAAATTGCCTTCTGCATCGCCTCTGCCTGAGCAAAATTATCTTCTGCATCGCCTCTGCCTGAGCAAAATTATCTTCTGCATCGCCTCTACCTGAACAAAATTATCTTCTGCATCGCCTCTACCTGAACAAACTTATCTTCTGCATCGCCTCAGCCTGAGCAAAATTATCTTCTGCATCGCCTCTGCCTGAACAAAATTATGTTTTGCATCGCCTCTGCCTGAGCAAAATTATCTTCTGCATCGCCTCTGCCTGAGCAAAATTATCTTCTGCATCGCCTCTGCCTGAGCAAAATTGTCTTCTGCATCGCCTCTGCCTGAGCAAAATTATCTTCTGCATCGCCTCTGCCTGAGCAAAATTATCTTCTGCATCGCCTCTACCTGAACAAAATTATCTTCTGCATCGCCTCTGTCTGAACAAACTTATCTTCTGCATCGCCTCAGCCTGAGCAAAATTATCTTCTGCATCGCCTCTGTCTGAGCAAAATTATCTTCTGCATCGCCTCTGCCTGAGCAAAATTATCTTCTGCATCGCCTCTGCCTTAGCAAAATTATCTGCTGCATCGCCTCTGCCGGAGCAAGATTATCTTCTGCATCGCCTCTGCGTGAGCAAAATTATCTTCTGCATCGCCTCTGCCTGAACAAAATTGCCCTGTGCATCTCCTCTGCCTGAGCAAAATTATCTTCTGCATCGCCTCTGCCTGAACAAAATTATCTGCTGCATCGCCTCTGCCGGAGCAAGATTATCTTCTGCATCGCCTCTGCCTGAGCAAAATTATCTTCTGCATCGCCTCTCCCTGAACAAAATTGCCTTCTGCATCGCCTCTGCGTGAGCAAAATTATCTTGTGCATCGCCTCTGCCTGAGCGAAATTGTCTTCTGCATCGCCTATGCCTGAGCAAATTGTCTTCTGCATCGCCTCTGCCTGAGCAAAATTATCTTCTGCATCGCCTCTGCCTGAACAAAATTGCCCTGTGCATCTCCTCTGCCTGAGCAAAATTATCTTCTGCATCGCCTCTGCCTGAACAAAATTATCTGCTGCATCGCCTCTGCCTGAGCGAAATTGTCTTCTGCATCGCCTATGCCTGAGCAAATTGTCTTCTGCATCGCCTCTGCCTGAGCAAAATTATCTTCTGCATCGCCTCTGCCTGAACAAAATTGCCTTCTGCATCTCCTCTGCCTGAGCAAGATTATCTTCTGCATCGCCTCTGCCTGAACAAAATTATCTTCTGCATCGCCTCTGCCTGAGCGAAATTGTCTTCTGCATCTTCTGCATCGCCTCTGTCTGAGCGAAATTCCATTTTGCATTACCTCTCGTGAGCAAAATTAAATTATCTGCTGCATCGCCTCTGCCTAAGCAAGATTGCCTTGTGAATTGCCGTTGTACGTCTTCGGACAAAGCACGTTATTTTGCGATGACCAAATTTTACAATAATTTGGTTATCATTCACTAATTCGGTCTTCGTGAAGTCTTTTGCACATTTCTTTTAGGTTGCTGGTTTGTTTCAACATTTGACTGTATAATACAAAATTGTGAAAAATGGTCGCTAATATCAGAGATATATTGCCGCTTAATGGAATTTTCAACATTATTAACAAAAATATTGTCGATCAGTGACAGTGTAGCAGAACTGTTTTGTATTCTGTTAGGTTTATCTGTGGTTAGTATAAGGGCATAACTTTGGAGAGTATATAAGAAATTTAGCTGAGCAAAATGGCATACTTGAGCTTTGTCCTTTGAAGTACAACCTACATTTCACCACGGACAATGGTAAACAAAAAGAGTATATTGTTCAAGTTAAATGGGTTGCCCTTGTTAGTCTTTATTATCTTAATGAAGCCCTCGAAGGACGGCAGACTGAAATACGATACGATACCATGCAAGCAATCGAGGTTGTTCTGCAACAAAAGCCAAGAATGAGGACCATCCAAGTCGGTTCGTCATTCTTTGACTATCCAACTGGCCGTGAGAAGGACCTTGGTGGTGGTGTACAAGTGTGGAACGGGACGTTCGTTAGCATACGTCCGACTCAATGGAAAATGATGTTGAATGTCGATACTTCTGCCACAAGTTTCTATAAAGGACAGCCTGTGTTAGATTTTATGTGTGAATTCCTTGGCCTCCGAGACTACCCAAGACGCTTAAACAAGTTTCAAAGAGAAACATTTGCTAAAGAAATAAAGGCAATAAAAGTTGAAACAACATATATGAAGAGAAAACAAAGAGCCAGCGGTCTGTCATTCAAGTCGGCGAGAGATGAACGTTCGATTGCGAAGGTCGGAAGGTGTCGGTGTTAAATTACTTCTAGGAAAAGTATGACGTCAGTTTGCGATATCCGGATCTACCATGTGTTAAGATCGGTCAGAGAAGCTTCATCCCCTTAGAGCTGTGTCAAGTTGTCCATGGCCAAAAGAAGCAGCGTAAATTGACTGGAGCAAAAACGCAGCAGATGATTCGTTACACCACTATACCTGCACCAGATCGTATGCAGAAAATCGTGGAGTTGATTCGAAAATTCCACTACGAAGGTGACCCATATTGCCGAGACTTTGGCATCAGTGTTAGCAACAAATGGTAACCGTAAAAGGACGGGTGTTAGACCCTCCAATTCTCATGTATGGTCCAAAGAACAGACCTGGAAAAGAGACGCCTCGTGATAGATCTTGGAAAATAACAAAGCAAATGCTTGATCCAAAAGAATTAAGGGAATGGGCATTGATTTCTTACATCAATAATGACCCAAAAAAGAAATGGCCTGCTAGATACAAAGGGCCAGCCCATCTTAATGATCGTGGAATTGAGAATTTTGTTTACTATCTTGTCAAAGCTGGGGGAGAAAAGGGGTTCTTCATTACTGAGCATCCATGCTACACAAAAATCGAAACAGGTTTTCTTGGAACTAATAAACTGTTCGGTAACCTCAAAGCTAGTTATCGCGATTTACAGTTAATCATTGTTGTATTGCCTGTTGATGGTGATGATTTTCATGAAGAAGTCAAGCACTGTGGCGACGTTGCTCATGGTATCACCACGCAATGTATTAAGGTCGAGCATGCTTCTAATGATTTCTCGGACTGGCGAAAACGAGAGACGCTCGTTAATCTCTGCCTAAAGATCAATGCAAAACTTGGTGGAACAACCTGTGCCATTGACAGAGAAGTGATATATCCCCAATTCTTGGTGTCCCAGTCATAATATTTGGTATGCTATTTTATCTTCTTCATTTATTTAGTTTCAATCATGATTATGTGCAGATTTTCTGAGGGGTACAGGAAGGTGCACACTTCTCCCTCAGAAGGTGCACACCCTCTAATAAAATGACATAAATAATTTCCCCACTTTTTAAACTTTTGCTACTTTATAATAAGAAATTAGCAAAACTTAAATTTAACTAGAAAATCTGTTCAATTCTCATGTCAAAATAATGAAAATACCATAATATTCAAGGCCTTAGATTTGAAAGTTTTCTTTGGAGATGATAATGCCCATTTGACAACCTTGGCCTGTAGTGCAAACACAGCTTAACAGTACCAAGTGTTACCAAACTCACGGACGCTTCATTTTGCTTGGATAACATGTCATGTTTTCATGTCAAAACATTCAGGAATTGCGACTACATTAACCATTTTTAACTTAGTTGGAAATTTCACAGAAAAGGAAGGTAATCGCATTTCAAAATGTTTTAACACTGAAACATGGCACTGTTTTCGGGCGAGATGAAGCATCCGCAGTTTTGGTAATAGATTTGAGCAATCTCCTTCCCCGAGCCTGCGATCCTCGGGAAGGAACGTGAGGCTCTGGGATAATCCGTTGCCAGAAGCCAGGAATCCTGGCTAAGACCGAACTGCGCATTCCATATCAACGGTCAATCAGATTCCTCCCTGAAACGGATTATCCCAGAGCCTCACGTTCCTTCCCGATGATCGCAGGCTCGGGGAACGAGATTGTAGAGTTGATTGGCTTAGCTCTCAAGTCACATCAGGTCAGGGCTCAATGTTATGACGTCACTCCGTCGAATATTATGTCAAACCTCCATATTTGGTCAGCTTTTGAGTTGATATGACCTATTATGACGATTTCACAGTTGGCTGTTTATAGCCAATCCGAAACCATGAATCATTTAAATAAATAATAATTCTTCATATCTTGCGAAAACCGAATTTAATAATGGTTTTATGTAGTGTTTAATAAAGGAGCAGGAGTGTTTTATTATGTTTAAAGACACGAGCGCGCAGCGCGAGTGGCATACATAATAAAACACGACCTGCGAGTTTATTAAATGGCTTCAAACACGACTACAAATTCAATAGATATAATGCCTATTAGTATTCTTTATATAAAGAATACTAATTAGGAGTGTTTTATCAGGTTTAAAGCCACTGCACGTGACATATTATGGTTGACATGATTTGCCAATAAGCTTATGAATTATTAATGAGTGTTTGAAGTACTACTTAAAACACGAGCAGGAGTGCTTTATCAGATATAAAACTCGAGGTAACAGCCGAGAGTTTTATATCTGATAATGCACGGACTGCGAAATAATGACCAAAAATCTCCGTATTTGCTCAGCTATTGAATTAATATGACGATTTGTTGTTAGAAGTTGGCTGTTAGATATCAGAAACCATAAATATTTTAAATAAATAATAATACAAATGATTAAACTTGCCAAACTTGCCCCCCAAGCCGTTGTTAACCTCGCACTGCAATTTAGTCCATCTTATTCTCCATCACTTCAGCTATTTGTTTTGAATCTGATCTTTTATTCTTCCTATCTTTTCATTCATTCGTTCGTTCGTTCGTTCGTTCGTTCGTTCGTTCGTTCGTTCGTTCGTTCGTTCGTTCGTTCGTTCGTTCGTTCGTTCGTTCGTTCGTTCGTTCGTCCGTCCGTCCGTCCGTCCGTCCGTTCGTTTATTCATTCGTTCGTTCATTCGTTCGTTCATTCATTCGTTCATTCATTTATTTTGTCTTTCTCCCTCGTCCAAAAATATTCTGGTTATGTAAACATTTTCCGGGACCAAATCGTCCACAGGTTTAACAAGCTTCATGGTAATTGGCTTCAAATGATCAATCATTACGAATATTCGAATGACATGAGACAATCAGGGCCGTAGCTAGACCGATCATTGGGGGGGGGGGGTGCATATCCATATATTACTGTTCTGCCCGACGGATTTCTTTTGAAAGCGATTGTTTTTACGGTAGCGAGCATGAATATATGAATATACCCCCCCCCCCATTATCGCGTCTAGGAACCGCCCTG